TACCAGAACAAGAAACTACTATGAAAAAAAAACGGTACTCATACTTGTTTCGGGTAAATTGATCCTATATGAAAATTACAGAAAAAATTTTGGGGGGGAAAAACAAAGTCATTAAAAAATAAAATATATATATTAAAAAAAATAACATAACTAAAAAATTATGGGTCAACAAGCATGTAGAACTGTTGGCAAATCAAACATTTCTTTCAGATAAACATTACAATGACAGCTTGAAAGGTGTACATATAATATATACTATAGTTTTCTTTCAAGTGTTCCTCATTCGATACGTATTGGAATATATATTACAATTTAAATAGCATCAGTTGCTATCACATAATCAGTGATCTCATTCACAGTTAACCCTTCTTGTCCAATGTTTCCATTCAGAAACATTATAGCCTAACGGAACTTTCAGTTTAAATTGGATAAATACATTCCTTGCAACCAAACCAATGATGTGCAAAGTCTTAGGCTCCATTCACACCTACGTTCCTGCATCGGGAACTTGCATTCCGGAAAGAATCCCTAATATGCCGTTTACAAGCAGCAGCTGTCACCCATTCAAGTTAATGGTCGGGTGACAGCCGCTGCATTTGAATGCCGCCACACTATATGTAATTGTATCCCATACGGTTACATGCGGTTAGGAATCAATCAATATCTCTGGACACACGATAGATATGCAAAGGGATTGTGATTAATTCCTAACTGCACAAAATCTTATTACATAGGTTTACATGCGGTGTGCAAACATTCAAATGCAGCGGCTGTCACCCGATCATGAATTTGAATGGGTGACAGCTGATGCTTGTAAACTGCAGATTAGGGATTCCTGCTGCAGGAAATCACAAGTTCCTGACACTGGAATCCCTAATTGCACCTAGCATAAATGTCTGAAACCTTACAGTTTCTTTGCTTTAGACAGTAGCCACAGCCTCACTAGAAAATCCTGTCCCCTCACAGCATTTTGAAGAGAAGGACCCCTGCTCGCTCTGCAGAAGCAGCCGTCTCTGCACATCTGACACTCCCCCTGCTGCTAGAGTTTTCTAAGCAACAGGGAGCATGAGCTTTGTTGATTGCAGAGGTATATATCTGACTCAGCAGGAGGAGTGTCAGACCTTTGCAGAGAGACTGCTGTTTATAATATTGATTTTAGTATAGCATTGGTATACATTGCTGAGTATTCTCAAGGGTTTTCTGGTTAAGTTTCTTTAATTTGGAGCAATATCCCTATAACATAACAAAGTTGTATTTTATTTTTTAATGAAAGGGATCCCTGTTTTTTTAAATTATTATTATTATTTTTAATATGCTACACCTTCATAGCATTTTAAACAGCGGTCTATACAGTTAATGTAGTGACAATATGCTATATGTGTGTATGACTTTTTTTGAAAGCAATTAGCTATCAATAATTGAAATATTGTTATTATTCCGTTAGAAAACCCTGTTTGCAACAGGTTTGCCTATCCAATAACTGTGTGGCAAAAATCTACATATTCTCTTATTCATTTTTATTATAATGACTGAGAGTTAAGCATGTTTAATGAAAAGATTTAATCCTGCTAATAAAACTATGCACCGAAAGATCTTATTCACAAAAAATATTACAGTTAACTGAAAAAAAAAAAAAAATGTTTGGCATTCGTGCTGGTTTTCATTGGCTCTGAAGAGGGGATAGCCTCCACCTCCTCCACAAGCATGTTAATCTGCTAATCACTGGTTTGGCTGTCATACTAGATGATTTAATTATCTCTTACTTAATTATGTTTGATGGAACAAAGAACTATTGTATTAATATCTCACCATTGTACATCGGATTATCATATTATCGTAAGTTACTGTCATTCGGCACTTGACTTGGTTTGTCTTTCTTTTGACATGTTTAGGAAAACGGTGGAGTAAACTCTTTTGTGTTTAATTTTCTTTTTACCTATGAATACTTTATAAACTTTGCTTTGGCTATAGCATTCTGGCAGGGTTTGTTATTTCAGGGAAATGATGGAAGCATTTAGTTCTATTTAGTTAAATTGTTTTCAAAAAGTAGCAGTAACTACACAGTTTACTATTACAATGATTAATATTTTACATAAAATATCTTTATATTTTCTATTCTCTTATAAAGTGCAAACAGTTACAAAATATTAGCATTAATACTGTCATGCAATTCATTTTCTCCGGTCAATTTAGCATTCATATATTATTTTTACATTGTTTTAAAAACAATATAAAGATATCGTTTGTAGAACATTATAGGCAACATACTATTTCCATCTTGATTCTGTTGTATACCAGTTCACTCATTTACTATGTGAAATAAACCCACAACTTTCAGTGTACAGGTGTAATATTTAAAAAAATAAAATTCTTGCAGTTTGGGCATACAAATTATAAAACCTGACATTTTATGATAGGCATCACAGTCACCACACACCATACTCATATCTATAATGCGATAGAGGAAAGTGACATATATTAGCAGTTAGGGATTCAAGGAGAACTATGAGTGCTTTTCACTCACCTCATAGTTCTAGCCGACCTGTGACAATGAGGCTGTCACAGGTCAGGCTCAGTAGATCGGGAGGTGAGCGAACACATACAGAGCGTCCCAGGTTGCTAAGAACTGGCTTCCAACCAGTCCCTGGTTGCCAGGAGCCGAGCGGGATGCTCTGCACCTAGCGCCCCCCTTAATGAGCATTCACCACCAACACCCCAATTCCCCTACTAACGAGCATCAACCACCAGCACCCACCCCTACCTTGCCTCAGGTGGCGAATAGTGTAGGGACAGCCTCTCATTCCATTCGCAGGGTGGGAAGGAAACATAAGGTGAAGGGCAGAAAAAAAACAGGTCTTCTTCCCTGCCAAGTAGAGCTATGTTGTGTAAATCTCAGGACTTTATGAACAAAAATACAAACCCTTTACCAGGTGAAACAGCTCCCATATATGTATTTCATCTATGTATTTAGCTGTTTGCCTGGAATTCAGCTTTAATATAGTTCTTCTTTCTCCTTTACCGGTAATACAAACGCTGTGTGTTACAGTTTTTTCTGAATTGCCGACTATTGTGAATTTTAAAATATATGGACATTTCTGCTTCCATCATTCCCTGTGTACATTTGCTACTTATCAACGCAGGCATTGATGATGTTATACATTATACAGTAATAACATTACACCAGATCAGAGAATGCGGATTGTGTATGCTACCAGAACAAGAAACTACTATGAAAAAAAAACGGTACTCATACTTGTTTCGGGTAAATTGATCCTATATGAAAATTACAGAAAAAATTTTGGGGGGGAAAAACAAAGTCATTAAAAAATAAAATATATATATTAAAAAAAATAACATAACCAATGAACTGTAACCGTCACTAATTCCAATTAGCTGCTGAAATCCCATCAATAAGTATGAATATCGGGTTGACAAGTAGTTTGAAAATGCACAGTGAATATGGGGTGCATTGACAGAGATGAATGCAATTGCTTGAAAATTGGTCTATTTCATTTTCTTTTTATAGTAGCACTTTAAATGTTAGAATGTGTTTGTTTTGTTCAACACAAAAAAAGATAACTTTATTATCTAAAACGGTAAGGATCATTTATTATTATCTGTCGAGAATATATACATGTGTATATATATGTA